GACGCACGAAGTCCCAGATCAGGCAGACGCCGTTTTTCCACGGAGAGAGGGTGATACAGTCTGGTCTCTTTCCGTCATCACGTGTCTGGTCTCTTTCCGTCATCACGTGAGAAGCCGACTGGTTCTAGAGAAGACTGAATGTCGGACAAACAGAAAGCACGTTTGATGGCTTAAATGACCCCAAATTAGGTCACCAAGCCCATAAAATGATAGACCGAAATCTTTACAGCCGAAAGTAGTTTTTCAGCGAAATAAAAACAAAAACAGCAAAAAAAATCAGAAGTCAATGCCAGCAAAACTAAAAAAAGCAGAAGTAATTTGAAAGACTTTTAGCAACTTAATTGAAAATTGCGTGTAAAAATATTAATTCTACGATGAGGCAACTAAGCCGACTAATCCTAAGGAGATCAATTACAGGCCGGCATTTCTTTGGAAAAAACAATTCCAGATTTTAAAAAAACATCTGGTCAGATTCGATTAATACTAAATAAGCCCCAGAAGAAAGCAAACCTGAAAACCTTAGAGCAGACAAGTTCAGCCGAAAAAATATGATTTTATTATGGAAAAGTTAATTTTTCAAGTCCCCCTGAAACTACATAAAACAACACTGCACTAGTAACTTCAATGAAAGTTGATTACAGAAAAAGGAAAAACCAAGATAAGACAACTAAGCCTACGATGTTGTGATAAACTTATTAAATAGTTTGAGATGGGTATGTGCTGGTGATCACCTGGCTGGACGTTGCACACTTCCTGACCTGCCCGAAGTGGACCACTGGTTTTCAGGTAGCGTGCCATCCACGACCTGGTCTGGACCCCGCACTGGATTTCTGGTCTCCTGGAGTGGAACCCATAGCCCGATCTTGACTCTGGCTCTCCCCTTCTGCCTTCGTTATCTCTACGTCTGGGTGAGACCCCTCCTACGTTAGGCATGCAATTGTTTGCCTCTTTCTTTTCGACAGTGTTTCTGGTTTTAGCTTTCAACCGTGTGCAGAACGGTCACAGCCCTGTTGGATCTACACACATGCTGCTGCTGGCTCGCGAGAAACCTGATCCACAATCACGACAAGAACTGCGGTCACGCAAGTTTAAACTCAACTCAAAGTTGTCGTTTTATAATATTTCTATGCTCCTTCTTTTATGCGCTGGTGATATTGAAAGTAATCCTGGTCCGTCTGTCGACCCTACTCAGTTGTCCAGATTTGTTAACGCCGCGGAGATCTTAGTCGGGTCGTCTGTTGCCATCTCGGACCTAACCTCCGGTATCTATGATGCTTCTATCCTCAAAGTTGACAACGATCGCTTCTTTGCTCACTTTCGTGGTTGGAATAAAAGCTCTGACTCCTGGGTCAACCTTGATCAAATTTTCCGGCTCCCCGATGGTTACGTTCCGATAGGCCGGAATTCTCGCGGTCCTATTTGCCTTCTCGCGTCTCCTGTCTCCAGTCCTATCTCTGTCGCCTTAACGAGTTCTCCTTCTCGGGATGCTCCTGTTAGCTCTGGCCTCTCTCAAGCGATGTCAAGTATGACGATCTCGGCCGAGCTCGCCGAAAGCGCTGTGCCGGATCTTTCTGACGTCATGTCTTCCAGAGTTGACACTGTCCGGTTCGTTCCGATTTCTCTTCGTAACGAGTGGTCTGAGGTTGTTGGTCACGCCCTTGACAACTGCGCCACCGCTCCAGACAATCTGAAAAACTGGACTCGGTTGCTCATGCTCCCCAAATGTATCTTGAAAGCTCCTCGCCGCGGAGGCAAGTCTCACGCCGCTAATAACTGCAGAGACATTCGCCAAAGAATCAAGTCCTGGAAGGAGGGCAATATTTCGGACCTCTGGTCTAACGCTACCAAAAGACCTAAAGAGCGAACGAAGAAAAACAGCAAACCTTCTCCTGACTTTAATGTCCGCAGAGCCAAAGAGCTAGCAGGCCTCGGTCAGTTCGGCAGAGCAGCTAAAGCCCTGTGTTCTGATGGCCTCGTGTCCAAAAGTGACGAGTCGCTTAAGGACCTTCGCAGTCTTCATCCTTCCGCTGACCCTCCTGTCTTTTCTGGCCGGGATGAATCCCCTCTTGCCTACCAATTCGAATCTGAATACGTTCATAAGTCTCTCAAAAGTTTCCCGAGCGGCACTGCTGCCGGTCCTTCGCGCTGGTTTCCTGAGCACTTTGTTCACGCCGTTGAGTGCCCCACTCCTCAGACTGCTGCCAGAACGTTAGAGTCTCTCAACAGAGTTGTTAACATCCTCGCTGCCGGGCAAGCCCCTTCTAGTCTCTCTCCGTGGCTGTGCAGTGCGAATCTCTTTGCCACCGCTAAACCCAAGGGTGGTGTCCGGCCTATTGCGGTCGGCGAAGTGCTCCGAAGGCTCACTGCTAAATGCCTTGCTAAAGCCGCCAACGCTGAAGCTCGTGATTTTCTGTGTCCTCGCCAGCTTGGAGTCGCTACCAGCGGTGGCTCGGAAGCCATCGTCCACGCTACTAAAATGACAGTCAAAAAGTGCTCGGAACATGGTCACCAAGGCGTCTTAACAGTGGATTTTGAGAACCGAGATCAACACGCTAGACCGCACCGAGATCCTCCTTCAAGTTCGCAACCGTCTTCCCGGTCTCTCCGCCTTTGTTGAGTTTACCTACGGTCACCACAGTCGTCTGCTGTTCGAGGATGTCATTCTCAACAGCGAGAAAGGAGTTCAACAGGGGGATCCGCTAGGGCCTCTCATTTTCGCGGTCACCCTGCACTCTCTTGTCGAATCTCTCAAGTCGGAAGTCCCCGGTCTCACCCTCAACTGCTGGTACGTTGATGATGGTATTTGTGCCGGCGACGAAGTCTCCTTGCTCAAGGCTCTCGAATTCATCACTTCCAACGGCTTGCATCTCGGCCTCAAAGTCAAGCACAGTAAGTGTGAGTTGTGGGCCCCTGTGGAGTTCTCGTCCATCCCCGTTTCTATCCCGAGAGCAGCGTCTAATGGCTTCGAGCTTCTTGGCGCCCCCATTGGTGATACTGAGTTCTCAGTTAAAGTCCTGGAGAAACGCATCTCGAAAGCCACCAAATGTCTTGAAAAGTTACCTCTTCTTGATGACCCCCAGCTCTCACTTGGCATCACTCGCACTTGCCTTGCTGCTCCCAAGCTGACGTACTCTCTTCGCACTCAGCCGCCCTCTCAGCCTGTCGCAGCTTCCCTGCAAGTTTTTGATGAACTCCTCCGCGATGCTCTTTCTGTCATAGTTGGGTCACCTGTTCCTGATCTTGCCTGGTCCCAGTCTTCCCTGCCTATCAAAGATGGCGGACTTGGCGTCCGGCAAGCTCGCGACCAACACATCCCTGCCTTCCTAGGGTCTTCGTGTCAGTCAGCTCATTTGGTCTCGTTTCTTACCGAACGCGACATCACTGATACGCCGGAGTTCATGCGTGCCTCTAACGACTTCCGTGAACAGTCTGGAAGCGTTAACACTCCCGGTTTTACTCAAGAAGCTTTCCAAGAGAAACTCGATAAGGCCACCTACAACGCTTTCTTCTCGTCTCTTCCCGATTCCCGCGAGCAAGCTCGTCTTCAGTCGCTCTCTCTGCCTTACGCCGGCGCTTGGCTTACCGCAGTCCCCATTAAAGGTCTTGGCCTGCACCTGCTTCCTGCTGAGTTCCAAGCTGCTGTCAGATACCGCCTTGGTCTTCCTGTGTTCGCGTCTGCTCGTAGGTGCCCCGCGTGTCCGTCTGGCATTCTGGACGTCCTCGGGGACCACGCTGTCGCTTGTGGGGGGAGTGGTGGCCGGATCTCCCGTCACGACAGACTACGGGACATTATTTTCAATGCTACCACGGCTGCCTCTTTAGCCCCCATCAAGGAGCAACGGAACCTCATCCCTGGAGAACGGTCCAAACCCGGCGATATTTTTGTCCCTACTTGAAGCACTGGTCGCCCAGCTGCTTTCGACGTCACCGTGACATCCCCGCTGCAGTTATCTCTTCTCTCTCGTGCGGCGGAGACCCCCGGGGCGTCCCTGGAAGTTGCTGAGGACCGCAAATTTTCGAAACACGAGAAAAACTGTGAGGAACAAGGAATCAGTTTTTTCCCGTTAGCAGTCGAAACGCTCGGGGGTTGGTCCGCTTTAGCTATCAAAACCCTCAAGTCAGTTGCTATCCTCGCTGATGCCAGACGTTCTTGTTCACGTGACGCTCGTGTTGCCCCAGTTCGCCTTCTCCAGAGCCTCTCAGTGTGCCTCATGAGAGGAAACGCCACTATGATTGTCAGTCGGGCCATCTAGTCTTGTGCAGTTTATTACTTTTTTGCCTTCCCAATTCTGGTGCTCCTTTGTTCCTTTGCTGTTAGTGCATTCCCCCTCTCTTTTCAATCCTCAATGGTTCATCCCACATTTGTTGTTTGTTTTGTATTCGGTGTTTTTGAATTTAGTCATTTTGAATTTAAATTTTACTACGTGTTTTAAGCCAACAATCTTTGAACAGACACAAATTGAGCCGAAAAAAAAGTTTTCTAAAAAATAAAAACTCCCTGACACTAAATTGACACAGAGGCGAAGCTGCGCTTCAAAAACACGAGCACACGGCCAAATAGCAGCTCTATCGAAAGAAATGAGAAAAGGTAGAAATGAGCCTTGAATTAGCGAAAACTCTGCTATGTGTCAGATTCCAATCTGCGACCTAGCAAATTTGAGTCTCACCTAGCAAATTTTATGAATTAAATATCATCAGCTGTGTTAACTTTTTACTAATCAAATGTCAAAGCACATATGATACTATACTGCTACCGCAACCTACCGATTTAAAAAAGCCACCTAAAGTAACACTTTCATTTGAGCTTTAGGTTGGAAAGTTGTGACTTAGATAATTACAAGCTGAAATTATCGCAAGGGTAAAAATACCATTGAAGAGTGCTTATAGCTGTTCAAAGCTGCCTATGGCAAAAAGTTCAGTGTCAGATAGATAACAGTACAATACTGTGGCTTGCTAAACATTGTTTTTACTTGAATTGCAGCAAAAACAAATTCACTTACCTGATCGTTTCCAACGAGATCTTGCACATCATCAACAGCAGGCCAAGGTCGAGTTTTGAAATATTGCTCAGTCATTCTGTCAAACCCTAAAATAACTTGGCTATAATTTTAGCAATTTGAGCTTTGCTTGGTAAATCAGTTATCTCGAATCGACGCATTAACTATAGTCCGCGTTAGTTAACTTTTCATTCTTATTAACAAGCTCACATGAAATTACAAACTTGACGACCCACTTCCAGTCTATAATATAATTGAAATTAGTTTCTTGTGTTACGAAAATCTATTTGATTTGCTGACCTGTTTCGTAAATGTTCTGAATTTGATAAATGTTGTGTTCTTGCAGCGCATGCTGAAACACAAGGAGGAAATTTTTGACAGGTTCAGGTATCTGCGTGGATGCTTGATAAACGTTTCCTCCTTCTCTGTCCCGCTCCCCCCTATCTCGGTTGTTTCGGTCATTGCGATCTCTATGGCCACCTTTCTCAGAATATTTATGAGAGCTGCCGCTATCTATTTTTTGAGATCCAGTCGACGGATAAGCATCGTCCAGGTCATCATTGAACATGTTTTCTAAAAAGGTTAACATCAGACGTGGAATTGCAAAAGAGGGCCTAAAAACCACTAAATCAATTCGTCACTTCTCAAATAATAATAAAATCAGGTCAGAAAGTTGTAACAGTCGCTCATAAATTACACAGGACGGAAGATAAAAAAACGTCCCTATTGACGACTGGCTGACGTCAGATACCTTGATTATATGCTTTTTTCGCCGTTTCGACCTATCCAGTTGATTTTTGGCCTGTTTAAGGGCTAACAATTGTGTTACGGCTTTTCGGCTATCAGCCAAACGAATTTTATAGTTTGGCTGAAAAAAACTAAAAATACCCGAATAAAAAGTTCATCACCACTTTCAGCGGTCTGAACAAAAAACTCAAACCTATTAGCACAGTTTTTTTTTATCTTATATTTTCAAAAGTATCATAGTAACCGAGGTTACAGTCAGGAGTCCCTTCATCACGTATTCCAGTCAATTTCCTTGGAATTTTCTAGATATGGAAGTGATAATGATAAAAGAAGATGACAAGTGTTTATGTCCTTTACAATTAAAATCGATACGGGTTACGTTTTTTCAATAAGAACACGCAACTCGACCCGAGAAAATATAAAATACAGGTGTTACAAATAAAAAAATTTCGTCGAAAGTTATTTTGTCACCTATTGTTCCGAGTACGCATGAGGCGTTCTCAATCTGTATTGCCAGGGAGATTCTCTATTTTAAAAAGCTGCCTGCTCTGGGTTCCTCAGTGCATATGCTTAGGTTCTTACAAAGCTTGCTCAAAAAAAATTCAGTGCTGGGGCCGGCCGCGCCCTGAATTTCAAAAGCTAGTGGTTGAAAATGATATCCATCATCTAAAAGATCTTTATACTTGTCATTTTTTCGCTCTTCCGCTTCAGCGGCATCCGTACCAGGGTTACAAACAGACCCTGCATTAATCCTACAAGGAGCTAAGGAGTCTACTATCGTTACATCCCACAAGAGCTGCTTACGAACAGCCCGAGGAACGAGCGTCAAACCGTCTGGTCGCTTCTGATCGGTCCTATAGAGGTGTCCTGGTTCTAAAACAGACGGAATGTCAGTAGAAGATAATCTCTGCTTTATAAGGGCATTCAGGTTTGAATGCCTAGAGAATCTCCCTGCACTTTTGAGGCAAAAAAGACCATGCCAATGTGCCATTCTGCCAGATGGCACAGCACAACCCTGATTTTCAAAAGCGTCTTAGCCTAATTGTTGTGATAAACTTATTAAATAGTTTAAGATAGAAGGTATCATGAGTGGCAGAGGACGAAACAGAACTGGTTCCACCTCTACGAGACTTCGAGCGAAATGTGGATCATGCGAAATTGCAGTACAGGCAGCTGGTTTGCAGTGCGAGGACTGTGACTGCTGGTTTCACCCAGAATGCGTAAACGTCTCTGATGGGCAATATCAGCTTCTACAGACCTTGACGACTACCTGCTGGTACTGTTCTCCTTGCTTCAAACAACGTCAAGACCGGTCGGTTATTGTTTCTCTATCTGCCACTGTAAATAAACTAGCCGAAAAACTCGAAAACCTTGATACCACCCTCAAATCAGTCGATGCTGCGCCGAAAC